GCTTGTGCACAGCCTCCCAACACCGCAAAGGGACAGGCCAAGAGCTCCTCATGGTCAGGGAAACGTGCCTTGTTCATCCTCCCTTCCCCTGTTGCTGGCACAGGGCCTGGCCCATCACAGGTGCCCAGTGAAGGTCTGCTGAATTACACTGAACATAGCTGTTAACACAGACTCCCATCTGTTTACCGCCTGCACACAGGGAATGTCTGTCAGCTTTCTGGGGTGCTGCTGGAGGTAATTTCTTCTGTCTCTTTTTGTCTCCCTGGGATGGAGTGAAACCTGGCTCTTAATCCACAGCCCCTGGAAAGCCAACTCTCCTTTTCCAGTTGGCATTAAAAGGAAAACTAGAGCATGATCTACAGAGCAGGTATAGCATACATCTATAAAGTAAAGGAAGTAAAGACAGGAAATGAGGGTATTGGGGTAGACTTCAAAACTTTCATTGCTCATTTCCTTTGCCTGCAGCTGGACAATGGAAAGTGGTTATGTGAAAATTAAATGGTGCCAAGGGCTTTTGCTTGTCAGCCTCAATAAATGTCTGATATAGATACAGAATCCTGTATCATTCATAGCCTGCCAGAGTACACTGCAGAAGGCTTTGGGGATCCCCCAGAGGCCTAAACCTTATCTTACCTAAAAATCATCTACTTTTCACTAGCAAATTCTTTCAAAGAATTAAACCCACTTCCCTACTTTCTCGTAAAAACTATTTGGTTAATTTAAATGTGGGTATGATTTAAAAAAAAATAAAAAGCCCTCTTTTCTGCTTGCCGATATTGAGTCATAGAGCCAAGAAGATTGCTAATTTTGAAGTGTGCTCGGTGGGGCTTTCTACTGATGATGTTGCTATTGATTCAAACAGTCACAAGTCTTTAGGATCATTTTTAGAGCAATGGTAAGAGCAGGGCTGAAATGAAAATCAGTCTGAGATAATGAACACTCCTGCTCAGAGATCATTATGGGCTGAGCTGTGCTGGGAAGGCACTGAGCCTGGGGGGCTAACACTTGCCTCAGTGGAATTAGCACTCAGTAATCAGGCAGTCACCTCGATCCAAGGCTTTCAACTCTCATGGAATATCTGTCAGAGTTTGTCAGTTCAGCAAATAACAAGTGTTTGGTTTGTTTCTTTTTTGTTTTCCCCCAGAACATGGACTTGTAAAACAGCTTAATTAAAAACGATGGCACTTTTTCCTGTTGTTCAGTTTGGAGGCAAAGACTACTGGGTAGTTGGTGAGAGGCTTAGGAGAGCAGCTTACTTTCTCCTGAAGTGGGAGGCTAACTTCCATGCGTCTGTGGTAGGGGTTGGCAAACTATGACCTTGGGCCAAATCTAACTGGCTGCTAATTTTCATATGGCCCATGGGCTGAGGAAAGGTTTTATATTTTTGAATTATTAAAAATGTAAATCAAAAGGGTAAAAAAATGACATGAAAATTATATAAATTCAAACTGCATGCTTTTTTAGTGTTTTTAAATTGTTTTATGGAACCTAGATAAAGTTGTGTTGAAACCTTCATTTGTGTATATATTGTTGGTTTTCATGCTACAACAGCAGAGCTGAGTCCAGTCATCCCTCAGTATCTGTACGAGATTGGTTCCAGAACCCCCTCAGATACCAAAATCCACAGATGCTCAATTCCTTTATATCAAATGCATAGTATTTGCATATAGCCTATGCACATCTTCCTGTGTTCTTCAAATCATCTCTAGGTTACTTATAATACCTAATACAGTGTAAATGCTATGTAAATACTGTTAAACTGTATTGTTCAAGGAATAATAATGAAAAAAAGAATATGTTCAGGTCAGTTGCAACTATACATTTTTTTCCCCAAATATTTTTGATTCAAGGTTGGTTGAATCCATGGATTTGGAAACCTCAGATATGGAGGGCCGACTATACTTGTGACAGGTACCAAATGGCTCACAAAGCCCAGAATATTTACTATTTGCCTCTTTACAGGTAGTTTGCTGACACCTGACGTATAAGAATGGGGGACATTGCTTCCCACCACCCCGAGCCCTCTCACTGGATGGTCCATGTGTACAAAGGATACCCCTTATTAAATGCAAAGATGTTGGTCTAAACCCTGCTTGATAGGATGATTGAGTAAATTCAAGGAAGTGGTAATGAGGGGTGGGTGCAGTGGCTCACTCCTGTAATCCCATTACTTTGGAGGCTGAGGTGGGAAGATCACCTGAGATTAGGAGTTTGAGACCAGCCTGGCCAGCATGGCAAAGCCCTGTCTCTGCTAAAAATACAAAAATTAGCCAGGCATGATGGTGGATGCCTGTAATCCCAGCTACTCGGGAGGCTGAGGCAGGAGAATCACTTGAACGTGGGAGGCGGAGGTTGCAGTGAGCCGAGATTGCACCACTGTACTCTAGCCTGGCGACAGAGCAGCAAGACTCCGGCTCAAAAAACAAACAAACAAACAATAACAAAAGAAAGTGGTAATGAAAAGAGATTTCACTGAAATCACATTTTTGGTATCTAGATGAATTTGGGCTAGGCTTACAGCATTTGATCAAATGTATGATATATGTTTAGTATTTTTTAAGGCAGGCTACCAACTAGCTGGTTGCTTTACTCCACTGAAGCAACTCATTCTACACTGGGATTTAACCATTCCAATCTTCTCCTCCAACTTCTCCATGTCATCTGAATCACCTGAGAGTTGTAGCCTATTTTCAAGCTCAGGAAGGCAGAATCTGGTTGTCCACTTGGCAAGACAGGCAATGAACTGGGCTGTGGCCAAACCAGTCAGCAGTTCCTCCTGGACAGGAACCTGTATCTGCCTGGCTGCCAACATCTGAGTGAGAGGTCACAGGGTGTCTAGGCCTTCAGGGGTTTTGGTTCCTGGATGCCAGCATACGGAGGGTGGAAAATGCCAGACTGATTAATGACACCTTTTCCTTGGGATCAGAATATCTGCGGGAGGGCAAGCCACATTGCCCTGCTCACCTGGATACCTCCCAAAGCTTCTGTTACTGGGATATAACCACCCCCGTCTTGTTCTCACCCATGGTGAGGAAGAGGGTGTTGCGAAGATGAACAATGCCTGCTGACCCAGCGGATTCATTCAAGTGCCTGATCTTTGCAGCTGACATGCAGAGAATGACCTCACATAGCCAGAGTTGAGGGAAATGGCTCTGATTTGTTGTCACCACTGTTTCTCTGCAAATGAGTCCACTAACCAAATGCTTCCTCAAATTATTCATCTTTGCTGCCCTAGCCATGGGCCACTTTTACCTGCTACCCCCCTACCAAAAAACCCCAAAACATATAAAGATTTTACCAAATAGCTCTCTCAACTATGAATAAGGCAGCCACCCAGAGAGCATGAGGAGCACCTTCCTTACCCAACCAGACCGAAAAGACTGAGCAAAGAGAAAAGCGTTCTCACAAACACTAGACTTAAATATTGAAAATCAAAATCTAATTCAAAAGGAATGGGTTTTAAGCATATGAAGTGTTCTTTTTGCTGCCACAATTTTGGGAGAATTCAGTAGCTCCTAAATGCCCAACTAAAAAATCTTTTTTTTTTATTTAAATGGGATCGTGAAAACTAATCAGTCCTACAGACTTTCCTCTTGTGGATGTACAGACACAGCCTAATAGAAAAGGGCTATTTGGTTGGGAGAATTCCCAGGAGAAATATCTATTTCCATCCAATGAATACAAAACCCCAGCTTCTGGTATTTTTCCCTAAGAAGGGGAAAACAAGAGCACTGGTTAAGTTTGTGACCACATCCTTCCTCTCCTGTGACTTCTCCTCTTTCCCTTCATTTGCCTCTTGTGTGATTTCTAGGCCTGTTTATTTCCCCTCTGCAAATATAAAGTCCTCTGTTGGGGAGGAGCTTATCTTATTCAGCTTTTCTTTTTCTCACAGCCGTTGGTAGAATGCTTAGCACATAGTAGGTTTGCAGCAGTGTCTGTTAGGTGCATACCTATGACCCCTAAGTAGAATCCTGGACCAGGAGTGGAACTGGGGAGTCTGGGCTTGTCTATACATTTTAACGACTCTGAACAAGACATAGAATCACCAAGCCTCAGTTTACTCATCACAAAAATGTGTCTAACAACAGATGTCTCAGTTACTTCACAGGATTTGTTGTGAGGTCCAAAGGAAGGAACAGATGCAGAAAACACTTTAGGAGGTGGGAAAAGCTGCACAAGGTCATTCTCATGAATCAGAAAGTTGAAAAGGCCTGCCATGGGTCCTCCCTGGGTGGAGGTCAGACTAGAAGACATTGGCAGTAGTCCCCTTCTTAAGCTGTTTTGATGACACAATGAAAAAGGCTGATATTCTGAACTATTTTTTTGTTAACATAAATGCCACTTAACTAGGGACCAGCTCCGTGCCTGTGCCAAACCAATTGGTGTGAGCTTTGGGAGGAGTGAAGGATGGGGACAGATCGTACACAATGAGGACAAAGAGGAACCTGAGACATTCGAAACAAACATGTTCTCAGAGCTTCGTGGAAATTCTGTCATGGCCCTAATTCTTGCCTGCTATTCTCTTGGCCACAAAAGATCGCAGACCAGTTACTATAGAAACAATTCTCTTCACAGGTTGTGCATGTTAGGATGGAGATGGAAAAGATTTCCTTATCAAAAAAAGAAAGAAATTAGGTTTTCAGATATATTTGCCCTCTATCTAAGTGTTCCTCCTTTTATGAGCAGAAGAAAGAAGAAGCTGCAATGATTGCAAATATGCTTCTAATTCCTTGCAGTTAAATTTCAAACTTTCATTGTAGACTCGGTGGAGCTCATGCATTTCTAATACATCCGGAAAGCACGTATTTTCTCAAGAGGGAAAATAGTGTAAAACAGGAGATAAGGGACCATGAGGCTGAGTGGGGAGAGCCTTGCCAACCTCAGGGTCCCCTCTGTCCTGGGAGAGCCCAGCCACCCCCACCGCACCCACCATCAAGCCTGTGTGTGATCTCGTTAGCATTTCCTTCTGCTTCCTGGCTCTAGGCTTCTTGTGGCTATCGCCTGGGGCAGTGCCTGTGTGGAATGCCTCCTGGGCCCTGTGGTTCTGTGTGGTGAGCGCCCCTGGCAGGGCAGCTGCATGGTTGCAGCAGGTGCCCAGGCAGGCAGGCTCAGATAGCTCTGATGGGGGATCAGGCCCTGTTTGTGGCCAAGGACCTATTCTTGGTTTAGGAATTTTCTTCTAAGCTTATGTGGCCTCAGAAAGAAGCAAAGGGAAAGGCTCTCCAAGCTGGGGAACTAGATAGATAGACAGAGAGAGAGAGAATGTGTGTACCTTTCCCTGTGAACTTAGTTCTGCCTCAACAAGGACTTTCCTTTAAACTGTTAAGCACTAAGACCTTAGGTGTGTGAAGCTCCAACCACCCTCCCTGTGTGAAGCAACCTGGAGTCAGCATAGGAGGACCTGCTGGTCTGTGTGGAGGAGACGCACAGTGAGTTGGAACCCCAGGGCCTTGGGGACTGTGAGCCTGGGGAGGTGAGTGACACAAAGGTGGACCTTCTTCTCTGCAGGAAAAAGCAAAGGCAGACTCCGCAGACAGGTAGACAGGATGCTGGGGAGCTTAGGGCAGAAGTGGGGGCTACAGGACAAAGTCTACCCTGAAGTCCCCACTGATGGCCATGCTGGGCTTCTTGGAACTTCCCCATGGATGAGACACAGGGAGTCCCCAAGGCTTAAAGGGTGGGCTCCAGGAAGCTGGAGAAGGCCTTCCCAGACGTGTCACAGACATCAGAGGTGAGGTATGATAGACGTAGGCATACATTGGGTTAGGGTTTACAAAAGGGACATGTGGGCCAGGCAGCAGACCTCTGGGCACTAGTAGGGGAGGGTGGAGTCGTCCCACTCCAGCTGGGCTTGCCTGGCTCCATTCTGCCCATGTCTGCCTCTGCCCGTCCCTTCCTCCTCCTCCTCCTCTTCGCTGTCATCAGAGCCACTGCTGGAGCTCATGTCTTCCTCTGCTTCTTCCTCCTCTTCTCCCTCAGTCTCATCTTCCCCGTGCCCTGGTCCTTCATGCTTCTGGATATCAAGGAGAGAAAGGAAGTGCTCGTCAGGGGCTGAACAGAGGCCACTTTGGAGCTTATGTTTCTCCATCCATTAAGGAAACATTTAGGGCCCCTTGGAATTTCTTCTCTTAGTGCCAAACTCTTCAGCCTGGACACAGACTTCCTGGAAGGGAAGTCTTCTGATAAAAAGGAAGCTAGAAGGTTCAAGGCAAAAGCCTGAAATAGCAGCAAATTCCAAGACATGAACTCAGGGTAGACTGTTGGGTATAAATGATGGGCTGGACATTGAAGCCAATCCTGTCCATCATTTACCGAACCTTTCAGGCCAAGGCTTGTTTTCAGGCATTTCCGGAGCCTATTTAAATGGAGCTGTCCAAGCCTTAGTGTTTGCTTCTCAGTGAGAGGATGGCATTTGATCTTGTGTCTCTTTTCCAAGTGTGCATGCAATGTCCCTGGGAGCAGAAGGCATTTTAAGCAAAGACTCAGTTATGCTTCCCCTCAAAAATATTCCTTTGGAAAGGACAAATTTATTGGTCCTCACTTTCCATGCTTGCTGCTCACCCTCTGACTGTGTCCTCAGGCTGTACCCCTTCCTTTCCAGTCCAGTTCCCCCTCACTCCAGCTTTTGGATAATTCCAGCAAAATTTTATTTCTGGATTTATGTTCTGTGTTGATGAACCAGGTCATAAAAGTTGTTTCTCCTTGCTTGGCTACCCACCCCCTCCCCTGACACTTCTTGGGAATTGTCTTTTACCTCCTACCTTCTACCTTACCCCAAATCCTACCCACTCTTCAAGGCCTCCCCCAGGCCAACCTCCTCCAAGGAATCTTCCCTAATTGTTGCAGTCCTGAAGGCTTTTCCTCCTCAAGCTCATTGACTTTTGACATCACAAGGTTGGCCCTTGTTAGGCACACTCTTGCCTTGTCCTCAGACCACTCCAGGTATAATGGTCTTGTTTTCTAGACTCCAGTCTCAACTCTTTGAAGGTGGAAATTCTGGAGTCTGTATAGCACTGAGCTCAGCACTTTACCTACAGCACATGCTTGGTGAAACTGAGCCACATCAGCACACTGCCTTTGAAATTGGAGTGTGAGGCCAGCTGAGGTGGAAACTGGGACCAGGCTGGGATAATCATCTTCCCCTACCTTTTCTAAGCCTGTGTCTGTCATCACCCAGAACCCATGGGCAAAGGGCATGATGTAGAGGGCTTCGCTTGACACTCATGGATAGATTCTGGGGGCTGTTGGCTAATTGGAAAGATATGGACTTTAGAATCAGACATCCTTAAATTTGACTATTGGCTGTGTTAATTTGAGTATGTTACTTTTTTTCTTAGTTGGTTTTCACCTTGGTAAATGAAGATGATAACTCCTATTTTATAGGATTTTGGAAGATTCAATGAGGTGGTGTATATAGAGCACTCTATACAGTATCTGGCATAATGGAGGCTCAATAAATGGCAGGCATTGCTGCTATATTTTTCTTTTAATCTGTTCCAAGCCTTTGAGTGAACTTTTCAGGCAGTATGGAGCAAAGCCATCTAATTTGCACTGTTAGTTAATCAAAACTTCAGTACTGAGTCCCTAAGGGTTAGTTAGCTCTGAGCTAAATACTGTGGGGGAAACGAAGCATAGCCACCTCGTGGTGTTTGCTTGCCTTAACAAAATTTCTGATTCTGTTTGTGGGGTAAGAGCAATGAATACATTTTAAATCAGAGAATGTAGTTGGTGGGAAGGTATGGTCTGTTCAGGTTGAGAGGGCTAGAGGAGCTCAGAGGCAGGAAGAACCAGTGGAGCTGGACTAGATGGGGCAGGGCTTCCAGAAGGCGGGGGTATGGGGCGGCTTTAGGCATAGGAAGGGTTGAGCTGGGTGGAGGGAGAAGCGCCCCACCCAGAACTCCCAGCCCTGCATGGGGATCACCTCCATGGGGTTGACTGTGATAGTCAGTGCAGAATCGTCCCAGTCCATCTCAGATTCCTTGGCAGCCTCAGTTTCCTGGATGAAGTGCTGGTGGGCGATCCGGACCCGGTACACACCCATGGCCACGACAAACACAAGCATGCACACGGAGATGATGATGACCACCGTGGCAATGCTTGGGACCACTGAAACAAGGAAGAAACTCCCATGACATGGCGAACAAAGGCCTAGCTCATTCTTGTGAGGGAGCATGAATGAAACATCCATGCATAGGATAAAGTCTGCCCTACCACTTTCCAGCTGTAGAACTCTAGAGCAGCACCTTACCCTGTCTGGGCTTCATTTTCATCACCTCTATAATGGACATAATAATTCCTATCCTATGAGTAATAGTTAGGTGTAAATTAAATTAATCTGTAAGTTTCCACATAGGCACAGTATAGGTGTTCATTAAATGCAAATTCTCTTTTATTCCTGGCTTTACCCCTCAAATTATAAAGAAATTTCCACAGAGCCAAGCACTGTAGAGTTTAGTAGAAACAGATACAAGTGCCCACCAGATGGTAACACAATATGGCAAATGCTCAAACAGAAATGTAGGCAGAGGACTTTGCAATATGGTGCATACGTGTGTGTGTGTGTGTGTGTGTGTGTGTGTGTGTGTGTGTGTGTGTGTGTGTGTTAAGGGCTCATGGAAAGCTTCATACCGGACATAGTTTTGAGTTGGGCCTGAAATTTTGTCCCAGCCCTTTGTAGTGACCTCTGCTATTATGTGTGTTGTGTAACTTCTTGTTTACGTATTGAATGCCAATTGAGGGTGTGAGTGTCTCAGAGCCAGGGCACATTTTCTCCATTGCTGGGTTCCCTCCCTCAGTTCTGGGCACCTATGTTTGCTGCAACATAACTGTCTGTTGAGTAGATAGTCTTGAGTCACAATGACCACCTGTGTCCTGAGAGTCCCTCCTCTTGGGCACCCTACCTGAACTGCGCCGGATGCTACTCCGGGACTCAGGATGATGGACAGACTGGAGGAAGGGAGGCTGCACAATCAGGTGGTTGACATGCTCCTTATCTGAGACTCTGTCTTCATGGAGGACGCTGACCTGGGAAGAGTGGGGAGAGGTGCTATTGACTCAGGAGTGGCAGGTGAGCCAGTTACAGCAGTTCTGAATGAATGATGAGGGAATGGGTGAGCCTTGGCTTCCCTAACAATGGCAGGACCCACTTACCTCCAAGTTGAACTCATTGCTAGTGTAGCGCCCATTGAGTTCTGAGCACTTAATCCGGAAACGCCGGGCCTCAAGGGAAGCTGGACGCCAGTTGCGGTAGCGGATGTGATGTAGCACCTGCTCATAACGGCTCATGGAGCCCACACCTGTGCCAAGAGACCACACCTGTCATCAGAAGGCAGAAAAGGAGGAGGAAGAGAAGACAGGAGACAGGCTGGGGCTTGTGGTACGAGACCTCGCGGGTCTTGTAAATTTGTTGAGGGTAAGAGCTCAAGATATGTTGGGCAGACAATGTGCAGAAACTCTAAGGGGCCAAAATTACACCGATGCACAAGCTTTCCATACAGACTGCCTCAATCTTCCAGATGTTGCTGTGACAGTTGCTGAAATCAAACATTGTAAGAGAAGGCATCCACCCAGCTTCTACAGAAGAATTCCCCAGGAGTGGGAATGTGGGACTGGTCCCCAAGATGCTTGAGTAACTTGCCAGAGGAGGGTCTAGAAATCCATGCTTGAGGCCAAGGATCTCCAACTGGTCCCTGGGGCTTCACAGTGCTCCTTCACAGGTGCAGTCTCACTCATGTCTCCCTGGACAAGGACATTCTAAGAGGACACCCTTGGGGCAAAGGGGGTTGAGTGTGGCCTTACCGTAGATGGAGTAGCCTGCAGTAGAATTAGTGGCGTCCAGGTGTCGTTGGTGGAGCTCACTGTGGTTGAGCTCTAAGCACTCCTGCCTTGGGTCCAAGTCCCCTCCAATTACCAAAATATCACAGAAATCTAAGTTATGAAGCATTTCCTCTAAGACTTCTGATTTGGGGGCTGTAGGAAGACAGACACGGGAAACGCAGGCATAAAGGACAGCTCAGAAAACAGTCCTTGCTAATCATCTTCCTCCTCTGTTATTGCACTCCAGGTTAAGGCTGGGTCAGGAGCAGTGTCTGTGTGATCCCAAATACCACATCGACTGCTCAGATGTCCAGGCGGCCCTGAGGTTGCGTAGCATGAATTAGTGGGAAGAGCATGAATACTGTAGCCAAAAGATGTGATTTGAATACCAGCTCTGCCACTGAGAAGCTGCATAGTGTTAGAGGAACTACCTACCACTCAGTTTCCTCATCTGTAAGGAAGGCAAGGGTCTTGAGATGATTGAAAACAGTGTCCAATGCACATTGTAGGTGCTCAATAAGCAATAGCTCTCATTTGGGGAGAGAGAAGTGGCCTTCCACCATGCTCTCGTAGCTTTCTCCATGTGGTCCTAATGTGTCTGTCTCCCCAACCACCTGAGATTCTGAAGGGCAGAAGCACTATCTTTTTATGATTGAATCCTTAGTGTCTAACCCAGGAACGAGCATGGAGTAGTTATTACTAAACCTTGCTCAAATGGAGCTGAATCATTAATTAATAATCAAGTCAATATGATATAACCAATAATCAATATTTGATAAATTAATATAATTAATGTGCTCCCCTTGGAGCACATTAGCATGTTGGTCAGTCAAGTTGTCCTTGTCTAATTGTATGACTCCAAATTTCCCAAAGAAATGTGTGAGTGTTTGAATGCCGGGCAGAGTTTGGCAGTCCTAAATTAAAATCCCATCTTAAGAAGGTGATTGGTATTTATGAAGTATGTGCCATGTGCCAGGCATGTGGAAATATAATCCTAATAGACGTTAAAGGGAGTACCATTACTATCCCCATCTCACTGATCATAGGCTAGTTGTCTTCAAGTGGTTTTGATCTTGCACTCCTTTACTGAAAAACTTGTGAAGAGAGATAATTTAAATCAGTATATTTATTTATTTATAGAGTGGACTAAATATACTTTGTGTGTTATAAAACATTAAAATAGAAATTTAAAAAATTCACTAAAGATGGATTATTTTAAATAATTATCTTTTAAGTTTTTAAATGATACCAAAAATATTTTTGCTCTCACTAGGTATATATTATATATTATTATACATAATTTCTTGATCTTAATTTTTAAATACTTGTCAATCACAATGGTTTCATATATAATCAGCAAAATCTAAAAGCACAATAACATACGCTTAAGATAGGGTCTATAATTAGCAATGCTGTATGTGCATCTTTATTTCAAATGGCCTTCTCACAGTTTCCAGGCTTTTTGCTGGCTTTTTGTCAGGTCTGGTCATATTGCCCTTGTTCCTACCTCCCACTGTGGCTGACTGAGAGCTCCCTGAGGTAGGGAGTGTGTCACGGCTGCCATTTTCTCATGGCTCTCTCACTATGGGTATTATCTTCCACCTGCAGTTTCCTGGATTCCCACTGTGTAGAAGGGAGTGTGCTGGGTTCAGGGACCCAGAGGCAAATCGGCCATGGATGAGCCCTCGGGGTCTCCTGGTCTGGTTTAATAAACAGGAAACCACCACCAAGGGCTAAAAAATGTGTGCTGAGGGAAGCACCAGCAGTTGGGAGTGTCAGAATGGTGGTGGTGGGAGAGCCTTCTTGGGGAGGTGCTGAAGGCAGAGTTATTTGCCAGGAAGGAAGGGATAGGGAGGGAAAGGGACCTTCCAGCCGGAGAGCAAAGCAGAGGTGTGAACTAACAGACCATGAGGGAGGGGTGTGTGTGTGTGTGTGTGTGCATGTTGGGGGAACCTCCTGTCTTTGGTATTGACAGCATAAAGAGTGTCAATGGGGGCAGCAGATGATGCTGAAGCCAGTCACTGAGGCCTGGTGGCAAATGTCATTATCCTACTTGTTTAAGATATCCACAATAATGACCATTCCAACAACAATAGGAGTAAAAATTTAAAGGCACTAATAATAGCCCTTGGACACTTGACTATGTGCTCTGCCTGTGCCTCTCATAAACAGAAGATGAAATGTGAACCCAGATAATTGCTCTTCCCTGCATTGCCTGTTTGCTGGTGTCAGATGTAGCAAATCCAGACACTTGGGTCATGGCCCGCAACCACTGAAGTCAGAGGCTCTTCTTTATTTCTGTCTGATTTTAGCCACAAATGAGAACAGGGGAAGAGGGACGATCACACAACCTAATGCACGTTGGTCTGTGACTAGGGAACTGCCCTGCCTGGACAGGTGGTAAAACACCATCTATTTTTATGAGCTAAGAAGGGCTGTCTCTTGAGTACCCCGTTCACTAGGGACCAGGGTGGTTTAAGGCAATAGGTAGTTAAGATTATTAGAACAGCAGCTCTTCGGGGACTCAGGACCAGAGGCACCAGCACATCATTAGCAGTGGCTTTTGGAGGGGGAGGAGAGAGTTGAAAATATTCTCTTGGAAGAGGCAGCAAAGGACACTTCTTAAATTTATATTTCCCCCATCCCTCAGAGTAACAAAAGGGAAGTTGTCTTCCCTCCCTCCCTTGCTCCTTTCCCGGTTTCCTTCCTTCTCTTCTCCTCCCCTCCCGCAGCATATATTATAGCTTTCAGCGTAACTGTTTCCCTTTGGTGGATAATTCAAATTACTCCTCTTTCACTGAAAAACCTTTCCAATAATGAAGTTGTTGGAAATAACAACTTAAAAGTTTTCTGAGCGCTTACAGTAATATTACTGAATGAGACCTAACTTTTATGGTGTATATATAAAGATGCAGCTATATTTTTTCTTTATATGTCTTTAGCTTTTCTTCTGATTATCAGAATAATATATGCCCACTATAGAACATTTTTGCAATTGCAGAAATGGAAGGGAAGCAGAAACAAATTGGCTCTCACTATGCTTCTCAAAGAATAACCGTTAGCATAGAATAACCCTGTTAGCATAGGGTGTATGTCCTTCTTGGCATTTTTCTATTTTTTTTTTTTTTCTTAAATGGTTGAGATCATTCTATCTGTAAGTACTATGTAACTTTGTGTCTTGCATTTTTTTCACTTAACCATTTAGCACAAATGCATTCCCTCCAACCTCATATCCCTCATTGCTAAACCATTCATTCCCCTCATATTCTTTTCATTTGTTTATAGCTCTTTGCCTGTTTTGCTGTAATACATTATGCTGCCATGTATACATTTATGCCATGTATACATTACATGAACAATGCTGTTTTTCTGAAGTATGTTTTCATGGCTGTGAAAAAATTAAGGTCCACCCTCCCCACAAACTCAAATGCACCTGTACCTGTGGTTTTCACATCCCCGGAGGCCTCAGTTTTGGCGAAGGTGCTCACAATCTTGATATCGGGAAAGAGGGTCACTCCCCTGGCACTTTCAAACTGAGCAGCAGGTCTCCAGAAGTGGTCTGTGCCCCGGAGGGTGATCCGGGGCTCGATGGCCTGCAGGACCATCACATAGGCATCTACCTCGGGGATACTGATGCATACGTCTTCCCCAAAGCACCTGGGAAAACAGCCTTGGTCATGGCACTGATGAGCAAGCAATTAAACCATCTGTCATACAGCCAGGAATAAGGGGTTGCCACCTCCAGTTCTTAACCAGGCATCCTGACTGCCTAAAAGTCTCTGAGGATGTCAACAGACATTCAAATTTAAAGACACATTATAATCAAAACCACTAGTGATCTAGGGACTTGAAAAATTGGCTCCTGAGAGAAATGGGAATTTTCTATACGCGCAACACATAACCATGAAACCTTTCATTATCCTTTAACAAAGTAATCAATGGCAACATTAATTAGATAGCAACAGCTTGTTATATGCTTTAGTATTTCGTAAGCAAATTGTTGTCTACCTGGTCGGTTACAGCCATCTTACTAATTGAGAACCCAGGGCTAAACTCTCCTGCATCAGCTTATATGATATGACACTATGTGGGTATCACACACGTGTGCCTTTTCTAGGTGTAAGAGCAAAGTGCTATCATATTCACCCTCCTTTCTCCTGATAACTGCCACACAATTATCTGGGAGGCAGAAATGGTATGGCCACAAGAGTGAGGTCTGAGACAGACAAGGATCCATGGCCTGGTTCTGACGCTTCTGGGCTGGGTAAATGTGGACAAGGCACTCAACTCCTGTGAACCTCAGTTTCTTCATCTATACAATGGGGATAACAATAATTTTGTCCTACAGTAAAGGATTAAATGCAGACATATATAGAAAAGAAGCTGACCAGAGCTTGCATCATGGTTTGAGCTCAGTAAACAGTGGTTGATTTGAACCTCTCGTCAGACCTCATGGGGGCATTATGTCATTAGCCCTCTCCCCTGGTCATCTAGATGTAGGTTAAAATGGGGGACCCCAGAGCCAGGCAGATGCTCTGGGGGTGGGGTTCAGCTGGTGACAGCCATCACCTTCCATGCCTTGGGACAGTTCCCGAGGAAAGGATAGTCTGGATGGATTCCATGCTGAGCTACTCTATCCTCTTCTGTGGGTGGGTGAAATGTGGGAGCTGTGGTGTCCTCCTCCTCTTCCCAGTTTTCTCCTGCTTGTGCCAGGCCAGCCCCACAGCACTCCTCACCTTTCTTCAGTTTGCAGAAGGCTGGTCTCGGCAGGACATAGGCCAGTTTGTTCTCTCATCTTCACTCTAATGTGGCACTGACCTGGAGGTACCTGCTTCCTACCCCTAAGCCTGTAATGGTGGGGCACTCCTCCATTGTTCCAGAACTATCGAATGTAACCACCATCTACAGGCTTTTTTCTGGCACCTGTCTCAGGCTCCATCAATGTGGCAGTCAGCAGACCCATCCTTCCCATCCTTGTTCCTCTCTTTCTGAGTCCTTCTCCCAACTCTAGGTGCCGCATGACTGCACCTCCACCTTCCAGGAATTTTCCTGGGATCCCCCTCCTAGCAGCCCTCCAAGGTAGCCACTGTGGCTGAGAAGTGATTTGATAGGCCAGTGAGTGAGTTATCCAAAGGCTTCAGTAATCCTCTAATTTAACTCTGATCTCTGGAAACAAGAACCATGCCTTCTGTTTTTCTGGCATACCTATGGGATTTAGGAACTCTACATAGCTGGGTTGGGTAACTTAATTCAATTTAATAAACATTTGTCAAGCACTTCCTATGTACCAGGCACTGTGCCCTTAAATCAGAACACTTCAAACCCATACCCAGATCACTTCAAATTCCCAGCTCTCTGAGAATTTATAGAAAGCAGTAAGGCATTAGATAAGAAACAGGGTAAAATAGAGAAAGGTGGATTCAAGGTGGTAAAACAACAGAACATCTTGCGTAAGAAGAAAACAAGAACACAGATCCATTGAGGCATCCTCATAGGAATAGCAGAAGTTGAGGACAGCTGAAGAAAGGCAAATCCTGTTTTGCAAGGGAACATTCCCAAGGGACCAACCCTGCTGCCTCAGTTGGCCCCAGGCTGATCAGTGTCCACTCACTGGACTTTGGAGGAGACTTTGAGGCGCCGCACACCCGCTGTCGGGAACTGCCTGGAGTTGATGTAGGAGACTTTCTGGAGAGCACGGTTAATGTTCCCAATGTCATCACCTTCCATCACCAGGATGGACTGCGAGGGGTTGAAGTGATACTGGAAGACAAAAGTGAGCATCATGGAAGAGAATGGTCAGGATGTACATGGTTTTATGGGAGCACTTCCTGTCCATACAGGGCACCAAAGGTCACCATAAACACCTCTAAAGCATCTGCCAGTGACCCATTTGTGTGTATAAATGGTAGTGTTTAAACTCTCAAGCAGTTCCTCCTACTCTCTGGTGGGCTTTGAGGCCCTCTCCTATGAAGTCTCTCCAGGAACTGTGCCTGGTATTATCGGTCTGAGCCACAGGATTGAATATTGAAAACCCAGCCACGGTGCTCTCACAGCCCAGCCCTTGGCGAACAGTGGCCCATGCTCTGTGCTACCGGGTGGTGTGGACCATTCAGAACTTGCGTGTTGACTCCTTTTACTCTCTTTGTCTTTGGCCTTGAACTGCTCCCCAAATTCATCTTGCACTCCATTTTCTGACCCACGCCCTATCTTCCTAGCTTCCAACCTTCAAGCTCATTTTTCAGTTAATGGTTTTCTTTCTCTCTCAGATCTAATTTTTTGTCTTGCTTTTCGAGGGCTACACACTGGTTTCCCATGAGTTGCACTCACCTGCTGCTTACACATCTGCCAGCAGCCCTGTTATCTATCCATTTCATCCCAAGTCCCTGGTATCCCACACTTGCCAAAGGCCATGTTGTGGCGATTCTCCCCACTGAGTCACGTGGGTACTCAAGCTGGACATAGGCTCTTGCCCTCTCCATGTCCCCACGGCAGTTACTCTTCTTGGAATGAAGCAGGGAAAACTGCCTTTGTACTGCCCTGAATTACTGACTTTGACACACTTCTGAGCAAGAATTATTAGGAAATGCTATTGATAAAATATCAGAAACATATCTGTGAATTCAGATTATATATTGAATGCTCATGGCACAGGAAAGGGAGACATGGATCTTTTTTAAGTAGCTACCTAACTTAAAATTATTTACTCTTTTGAATAGTTAATATATTCGCATGATTCAAATGTACACATGTGCTAGGTGAAAAGTAGCTATCTTATTTCTATCTCCCATCCACTCAGTTTCCACAGTCACATCTCACAAGTACTCATTATTATGTTAGTTTCTTAGTGGTAAATTGCATTATTGTTCACAATTAGTTGCTTCCCCTCCCGTGAGAGACTTATACATGTCTGCCCTATTGTTAATAAGCTTGATCATATGACTTACAGTACCCTTCCCTGCAGGATATACATTTTTGCCCTGTTGCACTCAGCAGTGGTCATGTTACTTGCTTGGTCAGCTAAATGTGGGCAGAAATATTGTTTGATTCATACCCTATGGAAGATTTAATAACCAGTTCATGGTTTGCAACATCCCTTTCTCTCTGCCATGAAACTGGCAACATTCCATTAGGGGCTGGTCCATCAGCTTGCATCTCACAGTGAGGGAGGTATGGATCAGAGCTGCAGCCAATCTATAATGGACACGAAGCATGAGCAATAAATAAAATGTTGTTGTATAAGCCACTTAGATATTAAATAATTTGTTACTGTAGTATAACTTAGCTTATCCTGACAGTTATACTCATTCTTATAAATATATAATCAGTGAATATAGATTTCCATTTTTCTTCTTTCTTATATCAAAACTATCTCATTACATAATGTATCACACTTTATTTTTTACTTGGCTCATATCTTGGAGCTTTTTCTGTATCAATACATGACAAGCTTCCTTATTCTTTTTTAGTAGCTGTATAAGTATTCCATTGTATAGATAAACTGTAATCTTTAAAACCAGTTTCCTAATATGGACATTTGGGTTATTTCTAAACTTTTACTGACAATGATAGAATAAATAATCTTGTGCAAACACATCTGTAGGATACATCACTACAAGTGAAATTGCTAGGTCAAAGAGTATATGCACTTTTAACTTGGATAAATGCTGCCAACTTCTCCATTGCTAGAGATTATATCAATGCATACTCCTTCCACCAGGGTATGAATGCAGCTTCTCTCAGTTCCTCAGCAACACAGTATGCCATCAGATGTCAGGACTTTTGCCAATCTGATAAATGATAAATGCCATCTTAGTGTAGTTTTAATGTGTATTTTTCTTAGTATGAGGAGCTGAGTATATCTTTTCATAGGTTTAAGGAAAAATGTATATTAACTTTTCCCTGATCTGACTTGAATGTCTTTATAAGGGTGTTCTGTTCTGTGTCTGGACTGAAACAGGAGTTGGATGTCTCATGAGCACTACTGGTGACACTGAACCACCTAAATCCCTTGCATGGTGTCCCCTAGCCAATAGGATTGATAGCTCAATCTTTGTCACTTTCAATCATCACGAGTGTTTCATTGTTACCTACCCATAAGGCCTCCCAGCTTCTCTCATTTTGGTTCCCACTGGGCTTTGATGCCTTTCTCCTATAGCACTTACAAAATGGTAACACCACTATATAGTACAGTGGACAGTAGCCCATGAGCACAGAGATTGTATCCTCTTACCTCTGAATGAGCCTCTTATCCCTGAATCCCAGCACTTAGCCTTAGTGTTCTAAAAGACCCTGTAAGATGAATGAGTGAAGGGTCTCCAGCCTACATTGTACTCACTGTCATCTCCTGTCACTCCCCAAAGGGACTTCTTTCTTTTGTCTTTTTAGTGAAGCTCTGTGGGAGTCATTATCAGTACTCACCAAACCCTGTTCTCCTTTCCTTTCTGGGCATTGTGGAGGCTACACTTCTCAGCCACCTTGTGCCACAGGTGGCCAGAGTCACATGACTACCTCTGGCCAATGGGCAGGAGAGGAAGTGAGGTGTCACACTTCTGAGCTGAGGCAGTGAAAAACCCTGTAAGATGCTCGAGCCTCTTTTTTTCCTCCAGTTCAGTGGCTTGCAGCATTCTATGCAGAAACCCCACCCCACCTCCCTAGCTGAGTATAGGAGAAAACTAAACTTGTCATGTTAAGCCAGTGAGGCTTGAGGTTTGGGGATCATATGCTACTGTAACAGCTTAGCCTGTTTGGGAAAATTTAGCACTTCCCAGGCCTGATTCTCACTTCTCTAAGGTCATAAGGCATCTTTAAAAGAGCATGGACTTTGTGGACTGTAATATTCCAGTTCTAGTACAAAGTACCACTTTGGAGTATTTCCTTTCCCCTCTGAGACTTCATTTCCTCATTTAAATAATGGTGAAATTAATATCTACCTGTGTGGGTCTTAAATGAAATAATATATATATATATATAAAGTTTCTAGCACTTACAAGATATTAAATATATGATAGTTTGGATGATCATTCTTACTATTGTAATTATGCCAGCACTGAGTCTTTGTGCCCCAGCCTTCACTGCTCTTGTGTCCTTGTGACACAATTCTCTTCTGTCCTTCCAAGTCCTGAGGAGCGCTGTCTCTCTGAGCTGTGACACCTGGCCATGAGCACCACTCTCTGGTGCTAGATCCTGGAGCCCCCAGGCATATGCATGGTTGATGCCACAGTCAGTGTCTGAGTTGGCATCTCTCTTGCCTGGAAGGCCTCACCAGCTTAGAGTGCTTATCCCTGGAGCTGCCTCACGCTAGTGAGTCATGATTAGTTCTGAAGTATTCGCAAGTCATCAGTTTCAGATTTGAGAAGACTCAAGGTCCTTGTTCTACAAATACCATCTATGTTTTAAAAGGTTTTTCTGCCCCTCTTCTCCAGCCTCGTCCCCTGCACCATCCTCCTGTAGCAGTCTTGTGCTGTTACTATCTGTGTATCCATCTGTCTGCATCCTCCAGCAGATTGTGAGCACCTCAAGGGCAGGGGCTACTGACTTCCTCAGCATCACTGCAGGCTCTAGCACATGAAAAGCATGAGGTAGATGACAGGTCTGCAGTGGAGGCTGGTCTCTGAGCCTCACAAGAGGGCTGCATAGGAAAATCAAGAGGTTCTTCTAGAGGGACGGATAAGCAGTATCCTGTGGCAGTCAGCAGAGGGCACAATCCCTCTGCAGCCACATGGAGAGAGACCAGGAGAGAGAGTGTGTTGGATCTCCAGTTAATACCTTGGTCTGTGCCACAGCATTGGGAGGTCTGCCACAGAGCATGAAGGTGGGCACTGGCCTAGCCAGCAGCATAGTTCTTGCAGGGTCAATAAAACCTCCAGAGCAGGTTTTGGGTGTTTTTTTTTTTTTTTAAACTGTGGTATTCCCAGCTCTGTGAGTGGGTGTCTGATTAAACAGGGGACCTGTTTGTACTTGCATCTGTACCAGGGCAGGAGATGGTGGCATGCTAGGGGCCCCAGCAAAGGGTGACATTGCTCACTCGCCCTTGGGTATCTGTGCAGTGACTATAGCCCTTCGTTGAGCCAAGAAAGTGCTAGACAGCCCTTACAGAATGGTCTTCTTATTAGGGGCTTTTCTTAGAGGTTTGACTGGCATCTCTAGCACCCCAGCAGGCTGGACCATCAGGGAAGTCCCTGATCAAAGCTCTGGCCTGATCCTTGACAGCAGGCTGGCTATGACCTGACAGGAACCCTGCTGCTACCTCTGACACCTGCCTGCCCATAGTCCATATTAAGTCAATAACAGAGTCAAAATTTGGACTCTGATTTTTCTGACTTACAGATTCAGCTGAACCATTTCTGTGAGTGGGGCCAGATGAAGATTTGCCACTTTAGAAGTTCTTCTGTCACAAAAGGGAACTGTGATTTGTTGAGAGTCTATTAGGTTTGCTAGGATATATTATATATATACTAAAATATATAATATATATTTAAATATATAAAATATATAGTATATATAGATAAATGTATATTTAGATATATAATTAAATTCTTACAACATCACTACAAGATAAATAATATTTTATACACAAGAGATTTGGGCTTAAAGGATTAATGTGTCTTGCCCAAGGTAACCCAGGTAATAAATAATCAGTTGACAGAAAAAGACATAAACATTTAAACATGATTACTAGGTGGCCGCCTCTGCCTAACTCTCTGGCACCTTCAACCTTTTTCCTCCTGCAGTGATCTGAACCTAGGAGTGTCTAGTACTGAAGTTCTTGCTCTTTCCCACTCTTCCACATGATGGAGATGACAAATTGGCAGGGGTTGTGCTATGTAAATCAGAACAGAGTATTACTCAGGAATGTGGTGATTCCACAGTATCTTGTATGGATACAATACAGCAGCCACTAAACCATTTTAGGACTCTAGACATGCTGGAGAAATATTCATAAATAGGTATGATTCAGAAGACAGGTAAAGCAAGAAACATGGGCTGGTCCCTGTGAGCAGACAGAGAATTTCCTTAATCACAAAAGGGCCTCACTTCCCTCGACCAGCCAGAGAGGTGGGAGGAGGGCAGTAACTGGCAAATAAAATAATAGTCATTATTCAGAAATGACATGAGGAGTAAAGGGAGGCAGGAAAGGAAGGATATTTGTTTTAATGATTTGCAAGAATGTCTTCTAATCTGAGTTGCTGGTATGGAGGAAAGAGCATGAACTGATTTTGGACAAATCCCTGAGCCCCAGTCCCCTTAGTTTTGAAATGGGGTCATAGTATTTAATTTGTTGTGAGAAGTAGGGATAATGAACATAAAATAGCCCCCAGTGGGTGCTCTGTAAATTGGGCATCTTATTAACTTCTCAAACGGTGCTCTAGTTCTTACCAGCCACGCCCTAGGAATGGAAGAGGATCATTTGCAGTGACTTGGTTATAAACGGGGAGTATCTTGAAAAGTCAGATTAGCCTCCTCAGTCCCCACAGTTTTTTGTGCCACTTATTTTAGCACCTCTTCTTTTCATAGGCTATGACGACTCTGTAGAAATTGCTATGGTTCTTAAATTTATAATTTTAAAAAGGCATGACTTTTGAGCCCAGCATCTTTGTGTTTTTGCTCTATGGTGCCCAGTACCCTGAAACTGTGCCTGCCTGGAACAGTTCAGAGCAGAGAAGATCTACGCAGATGCAAAGAGTAAATTTAGAATCAGAAAAAGAGAAGACACTAGGAGGATAGATTTTTGCATCACTGGGTTGACAAAACTCTAAGGAAGCAACACCAACAGTACGTCAAGACTGGCCTTTCCCATATGAGATGGTCTTTTGAGCTTGTGCCAATGACAAGTGATTAGCTATTGAGAGCAACTATGTGTATCTAATCCATGCTAAATGTTGTTCTGGAAAGTCAATCTTGCCTTGCCATGACTTTTGTACTCCTCCCATCTTCCCCAGTCTCCATCCTAAACCCCACATATGCTGAGATCATGCTCCCTTGCCTGAGCCTTCAGTGGCTCCCCATTGTTGACAGAAAAAAAAAAACAACAAAAAAACCCATAAACACCTAAACATGGTTAATAGGTGGCCTCTGATGTGGCCTCTGCCTACCTCTCTGGCACCTTCCACCTTTTTCTTCTTTCAGTTTGGGACTCATAACACTGGCTTTGTTGAAGTTCTAGTGAATACTGTGCTATTCCTCAGCCCTCTCTCATCACTCACACTTTTGGATCTGCCTGGAATGACTTCCCTCTTTCCCATCCCCTCTCCACCCCTGCCTTTTTCCTAGCTGGTTCCTACCTATTCTTAAACATTCTACTCAGACCTCATTTCCTCATCCAAGGAGCCTTCCCAGACTTGCCATTCTCCAAGGTTCTGGATCTCCAGAGTGGGACTGAATCTACTCATCACTAACTCTGGGATCTTACGCAAGTTCCCACCTCCTTCAGTCTTTCGTTCCTCATGTACAAAATGGGAGTATTTATGGTACCTTTGTCATGAGAGTGTTCTGGGAATCAATACCCATAAAACGTTTAGAACAAATAGTGTCTGGCACTTGGGAGACCCTCAGTAAATGTTAGTGTTCATAATCATTGTAGTAGTCATCGACTGGATTACAAATGTCTGCTTGGGTCACAGAGTTCCTCAGGCCATTTCTTTTCACATCTCAGAACCCAGCCTATAACAGAATACTAGCATGTCCATGGAATGATTATGGAAGTGGCTGTAATTTAAAGAATATTCTCAGACCACCAGCTTTTCCAAGGGTACCCAGCACCAGAGTGTGACTAACAGTAGGCTACTGATCTGGAAATTTCTGTTGGAGTGGTGACTCCCTGTCCAGGAGAGGCAGGCCCAGGGCAGGGCAGAGCTGCCCATGGGCAGTGCTGGGTCAGGGATGTTAGGCCAGCTGAGAAACCTCTGCTTTTGTCACATTCTCTGGAGAAATGACCAAGGACAGAAATCCTCACAGCTGCTGGGGCTTCATGGGGCTGTCCTGTGCTCCAGGAGGCACGGGCTGGTCTGTTCCAACTTCCAGAGGAGGCCAAGGGACTGTCTTTTCACACTGGGGTCCACTATGATTGAGTGGGAGCTACAGTGATACTGGCTCTGCTCTTTATTCAGGACCTCGTGGGCCGGTACCAACGTGTGCTCGCTCTGTAAGTCCAGGTGAGGTTAGAAAGTGACCCTGGCTGTCGGGGTGCTTGCTGAGGCCATAGTCAGTCACATCCCTCCCTGCCCCCATCAGGAGGAGCTTCTCTCAAATGAGAGAATGAGACAAGCTTCAGTCAGAAGAAGCTTTGCTTCTCTGAGATCACTTGAATATCTCTATTTTGCATAAACAATACAAATCATGCAAAAAATTGTTTTGTATAAACAATACAAATCATGAACTGTTCATGTTTTTTTTTTTTTTTCCTTTTTTTTAAAGACAGAGTCTTGCTCTATTGCCCAGGCTCGAGTGCAGTGGTGCAATCTTGGCTCACTGCAACCTCCGCCTCCTGGGATTACAGGTGCATGCCACCACGCCTGGCTAATTTTTGTATTTTTAGTACAGATGAGGTTTCACCATGTTAGTCAGGCTGGTCTCGAACTCCTGACTTTGTGATCCACCTGCCTCAGCCTCCCAAAGTGCTGGGACTACAGGTGTGACCCGTGAGCCACCACGCCGGCCCATGTTTCTTGGGCATTGAAGCAACAATGTAAGACAGAATGACCTCCATACCTGCTTTCTAATTCTACCCCACCCAGGTTTTCACTTTCCTTTTTAATTTGTATTTTACAAGGTCCTAAGTTTTTGTTTACTTTTTATGCTTTTGAAATGCTTCCTTGCATCCTTCAGTTCCTTTAGCCAAATAAACAACAGAGCAGCCAACTAATGCACAAATGAAATACAACAACTTCCTCCAGGTGGATATTGAACATGTGCCTGCTTTTGTGTAGTGGACTGACTATACACAAGGGCTTGATCTAGGAGTTTCAGAAGATGGCAGCAGAAGTCCATTGTGGAAGTCATGGTTACAAATCTCTCCCCGGACCCCCATCTCATGGCCGCACCTTTGCCATGGACTCATTTCTGTGTAACGTTCCAGCACGCGCTCCATTTCCTGGAGCGTGTTGGCACTGTGCACACTGGCCATCATGAATCACTGTCTTATTGGGGGTGATGCCAGCTCCTGCCTTACCTTTATTCCCTGACCAAGGCTTTCCAAGGAATTAATATCCAGCCCTTCCTTGCAGGCCTGCAGGCAGGACATCACCTTCTGGCTTTCCATTTTGCCAGGGCGGATAGTGAGACTGGCCAGGCTTCCATGAAAGAACTGAGCAAACCGCGGTTTGGTGACTTCTCCTCCTGAAAAAACAAACAGCGTCATTTGCCCTGTGGAGACTGGGCAGGAAATAGCACCTCAAGGCACCACTTGGCCATGCAGCCGAAGACACCTTGACTGTTCCCTGAACCTGAGCTTTTCCTTCTGAGTGATGAACACAGTAGCCAGAATCTCAGTAAGAAGTTTTATGCTGCTAATACCCTGGCATTCCCTGGCATCATCAGATTTAGGAATCCTGGCATTTCTGAATTTTAAAGGTTATTTTCAAGGGCACACGGTCTTAGGAGACTGGAGGGCTCTAGTGAGTGAAAATAGGGAGAAGGGAGCGGTCATTGATTAAACTCCAGGTCTGCCTTGTGCCAGTCTCTCTGCCAGGGACTTCATCTGAATAAGCCTGCAAGGATGTGGTGGCATTGTTTTCACCTGGCGGGTGGAGAGCCCTGAGACTCCAAAACGTTAAGGTACTTGCCCCAGGACATAGAGCTAAACACTGGAGCTGGAGCTCTAGTTCTGGTCTGAACTCAAAGCTGGAGTTTGCTTCCCTACATTCCACTGAGAGCTTGGCATGCGACTGAGGAGTACTAGAAATGCTGCATTTATGAGCTCTGGCTTTCTCACAATGTGTTGATTTCACATGTGCTTAAATTCAAGGCCTTTGACATAAGAGGACTTCCCTGATTCCTGTGCTTCTGTCTTTGGCTTTCTTCTCATTGCCTGCTTTCTGTTTTCGGTCATACTCCCTCCTGGTTGTGCTGAGTCCTGTGGGAGCTCAGGTCCGCTTTTACCCGTGGGCAAGTGTTCCAAGTGCTTGTGTTGCAATGCCAGCTTGGAATCCACTCCCTCCTCTTTTCTCCCTGTTTTTCCAAATCGGATCTCTGAGGTCCATTTGAAGCCTCGCCTCCCCTAGGAGACCTTCCTCACTGACTTTACTGAGCACAGGCTCCTTCCATCTCTGAGCAACCTTCCCAGCCTGGATCTTGTACTACTATTTGTTCACAGAAGAACAACAACACATAGAAAAGATGGGCCTGGGTTGAAATCTAACTTTGCTAGTTTCCTGGGAAGGTTTCATAAGCTCTCTGGGCCTCTATTTACTCCTAGGACACACTTCTGGATTTTGCCTCCAGGTTCTCCTGGGCTCTCTTGGTGGCTCCTTCAGCTTCCCCAATGCCTGGCTCTTGCAACACCTGGCCAGCAGCTTCCCCAGCCCTCTTTGCTGCCAGCAGTTGCTAATGGAGTGTGCTCCAGTGAGACACCTTCTGTGAAAGTCTTCTCTGGCTCCCTACAGGCCAGATTTCCAACACATGACACCCCTGCAACTTCTCCGCTATTCTTCAAGTTACGCGGTGCCAACCAAGTCTAGACCTCAGCTTGGGGGTGGGCTGGCTTTTTCTGGGGTGCTCTACTTCAGCCCTGAGGGTAGTTGGATGCTCCTTACATATTTTATTCCTATTTTCTTTAGAGTTCTCTTTAGAGTTCTTACCCACTAATCCTGTGTTACTCCAATCCCCACATTTATAATTTTTAAAAAGATTTTTTCTGTTGAAATTACAGTTCTCTCTCTCCTGTTTGAATCTAGATCCATAAACCTTCCACGTCTGCCCATATGTCTTTGCTTAAACCCATTCCTCTTTACACTGAGACACCACCCCTAAATAGCTTAGATTAGGCAAATCTCACAGTTCTTCAAGACCCCGTAAGCCTCCTGTTTCCTGATGCTCATGGAAACCCTCCATGATCCCCCTCTGCCCACCATGTGTCTCCCTTTATCCCTGAGTCCCCTTCCCTGCATACCCTCTCCCTGCCTGGAGCCTGCCCCTCCCCACCCTGAGCCTTGGAATGTTCATTTTAACATACCCCTCACAACCTGGCATTGTTAGCTAATGGTTTGCATGTAGGTGTTTATGTCCTCAGTAGCCTAAAATATGGTGGTTTTTAGCCTTGGCTACACATTTTAATCATTTGGAGATCCTTAAAAAGACAACCTGATGCCTGGTGCTGGGTCACATCCCCAGGGATTCTGACTTAATTGGTATGGGGAGTTTTAAAAGCTTCTCAGGTGAATCGAATGTGAAGTCAAGGTTAAGAACCACTGGGCTATAGCTTCTTGTGGGGTTGGGCCTCTTGCACCCTCCTCTTGTGATCTCTATCCTTTGTGCCACCTGCAGGCTTACTCTTGTCACTCTGTGCACACTGTTATAATTTATTAGTTTGAGTCTTTCCCTCCTGGATGGCAGGGATCACTCATGCATTATTCATTTTAATGAAGATAATACTGAGCAAGTGTTAGGGGCTGAGTGCTGCAACAGGCACTTTGCATAAGTCGGCTCATTTATTCCTGTCAACAACACTGGGCATCTTGCAATTTCCTGGCATCCTGCACCATGCCTGGCACATAGCAGACGTTTTGTAATTGTTTGCTTGAATTGAAGGAGATGGTGAGTTGAGTATCAGCAGAGTGCTGGGCACTGGTTGTCTTTCCAGTATCCATCTCACTCCTTCCTTCTTGCAAAGGCAGCCCTAAAGTTTAGGGTATTGACTTGAGTTCCAGAGACAGACTCTTTTTAGTTCAAGCCAATTAGATTATTCCATCCCTACTGCACCCGCTATTGATTGAGGGGTGGACCTGGGACCCAGGATGAAGCCATCACCTGGCATTCAATAAGCCACAGGAATTGATTCAGAAGAATCATGAGAACAAATTGAGGCCAGTATCATGAAATAAATTAATTGTCAACCTCTGTATAAAAAGCTTCCATTTTTCCTCTTCTGAAAGTTTCTGGAACAAACTCTTGCTCTCTTTCCTGGACTCAGTTCTGGGAAGATGGGAGGCCGGCTGTTGCAGCTATCTTGCCAGCAGACTGGTGATGACCAAGGCCCTGCATGGAGAAGGGCAGTGCCACGAGAGCCCCAGCAGGGAAGAGCAGAGCGTGAGCTGCCCTGCTCCCTGCTCTGCCTTGGGACGTTCTCAGCCTGGAGTGCCACTCATCCATCTTTATAGTTTGAGCCATTTTGACCAACAGTGTTGCTACTTGCCACCCAAAGCATCTTCACTTTGAAAATAAAGGATAAGTTTCTTTTGAGGTGCTCAGTTTACAAAAAGCTCTACACAGATTTGGCTTTGAGGAATTAGTTGACATGGTCCATGGCTATGGGGACGCTAACTGGGGTCTTCTGATTTAAATCCTCAGTGCCCCCATGCATAAAGTGCTCCTTCAAGCCATTAGCATGTTCCTGTCCCAGCAAAGGGGCATCTCTCTTGATCTGCAGGCGGAGGGTGTGAGCCTGTGTGTGAATAGTGGAGCTGTCCCTCTCCAGGGCATCCAGTTGGTGATCTCTTCTTAGCCTCCTCCTCCTTGGAACAGCAAATCCAACAACAACTACTATCATTTACTGGGCATACAATATGTACCCCATACCATGTGACATCCTCAGCATACATCATCTCATGGAATCTTCATAAAACTGCTGGGAGGTAGATACTCATTCTATAATGATAGATGAACAAATTTAGGCTTAGAGAGGGGAAGTCAGTGACCAAAAGCCACACCGGTAGGAAGTGGTAAAGTATATGTTCCTATAGTGTGAATACATCCATCCATGCACAGGACCAGCCGAGGTTTCCTGGTGGTGCCAGGCAACCAGGCCTAGAATGAGACTGAGAAAGCCCATTAGGATCTATCCTGTAGCCCTCTTCAACTGATCACTCAGCAGCTTTAGCCTGAAAGGCCAAACTTTGTGCTGTCTTGAATGCTAAGACAGTTTCCTACAAGCCATCTTCTCTCAGCAAAATACACTCATGTTCTACATTTTTGACTCAAGAATATCAGATGTGTGATGTACTCTATTTATCAGTGACAAGGCTCCAGGAAATTGATTCAATGAGCATTTTTCAATAGGCCAGTATAAAATTTGAAATATATTTCCACTCGGGTGGTTGTGATGCAGGATTTAAAAAAAATAAAAGATGCATTGAAAAAAATCTTTCCTTTGAATATCTAGGGTGTCTGCATAAGGCCACGTGACTCCTCTGTTGGTTAACAATTAGACATAAACATGCTTATGAATAATCTTAAAATAACCTCATTTTTTCCATAAAGAATCTTCCGTAAATGTTTGCAAACATGATTTTGGATTTCTGATGCTAGATCTGCACCCATTTTTAAAGCATTTTCTGTATGACTAGTCTTCTGTTAGATTCAGTTAATTTAAGATGTGAACCATGGTCTTCAGGAGCTTACATTTATTTGAGAGAATAACATATAGACCGAAAATAAAATAAAAATATGAGTAAATTGCCAGTATGACAGATATTCTAAGGCAGGATATGACTCATTTCAAACAATTGATATAGGCAATGTGTCCAACAGGTAAGAGGGAAAAAAATAACCATCATTTGTTAGGCCCTTGAAACACGACAAGTTCTTTCACATGCTATTTTATTTAATCCTTAAGCAAGGGATAGTATGTTTGAAGTCTTAGCTTCTGTTCTTTTACTTTTTCCCTACTTGCTTCTTCTACCTTACCTTCCATCTAAATACAGCCTGGCTTTGAGCTCATTGTCACAGGGAGGGTCATGGCAGAGAGAAGAGCAGAAGGGGCCTGGAGCTGAGTCTCTGCTTGGTGTGGTTTCCAGAAGCCTAAACCATGAGGAGGGTGGAGGAGATCTGGGTATAGATTAACCTTTGGGGAAACAGAAGAAGAGAATCTGGCCTCCCCGCAGAGTCATAAAGGAAACCCCAGACATGGGGGTGGGTGTGGCTGTGGCAGGGAAGCGGAGAAGACATCCGAGGTACAGAGCGGAGACACCTGAAGCCTGCTTCCTGGACTGAGCCCTGGCAGGGGTGTGTGTGATGCCAGCAAGGAATGCTGGCCTGGTACAGCTGGGCAGATGGACCACGGATGTTCCTACAGAGGAAGAATGAGAAGCAGCAGAAATATTTGTGTGCCCCTAAGTAAGGCAATCCCAAGACAGCTGCCAGTTCTGACAGACCATTAGTGACTGAGAATCAAAACAGGTGCG